ATCTTACTTTACAAATCGATATTATTTAAAAAACACTAATATTGCTATTGACGACTATTCTAGAATATTCTATGTATTTAAACATGCATATGTAATTGTAGAGCTAGAAGAGAAAATTATCGAAAAGGATATTCTTTGCTCAATTATTTTGTGTTTGCCACTTTATTTGTTAAGAGTTGTGGTGGTAGTTTCTTTTTCATTCTTTTTTTTACACAGGATATAACTACTTATACCAGTATTAAGTAGTCCTAGGTAAGGGGGATGGAGAAACTCTGAACCTTTTTTCTTTCTTATACAAATAGGTTAAAATCATCTGTCATTAGTTATGCTGTCATGTAGGTTTCGGATGAATTGACATTTAAAAATGGAGCGGAATTCTTCTTGTATGGTGAATTCATATACATATGTGATTAAAGGTCATCTATAAATAGACGATAGTTAGGCAGTATGCACCTGATATTCACCGCTCTACACGTCATCTTAAAAGAAAAAATAATTGAAGAAATAAAAGAATGCAAGAGCGTTTTTTCTTTCAAGAGGAAAACAATTTAAATTTTAACATATCATGCTCTTCTTGCTTATTTCTTTAGAAATACAACTATTAGTTTACAGGGATTTGATCGATTTTGATTTCGATTAGTGACTGACATCAGTTAGAGAACTACTGGAGACTGTGGAGTCCTGAACACCTGTTTCATCCTTGTTTTGGACTCCTCAGCGGTAATCACTTATGATCAGCAAGGTGAGCTAACTGAACACTTAGTCAGTAGTATGAAAGTTCCAGGTTCGATCCTATCCCCAATACTTGGTGAAGCAGCGGTGTGAATCTGTGCACTAACGAGTGTAGATGATCATCTGTAAAGCCGTTCATTCAGTCATCAGTCGACTGTTTCTTCTGTTCCATCATTTTGGTGACCAAGTTTCCATGTCTACCTTCCATTGGTTTCATCTGCATCAACCTTGTCTTCATTGGAGCGGTGTCTATCACCCATAGACTGTTCTGTTTCAGTTGCCAAGTCTTAGTTTGCAGGCATATCAGTAATTTCAAGAGTCATCACAAATGGAGTTCATCTCAAAAACAAAGAAGTGCTGGATAACAGTTTCATTCTTGCTTGGGACTCTTAGACACTACTAACTCTTGACCCGATCAGGAATCAAACCTATAGTCATTAAATTTCTGTTGTTTCCTCTTTTTATGTGTACTTATGCTTCAACGGCCAAACAATCAGCTAGTTAGGTAGGTGGTTAGTTATTTAGCACCAGCAGATACACGTTTTTGTGATCAGAAGGCTCTGAAATTTGTTTGCAGACGTTTCACCATCTCACTAGGAGACAAGTTTAGTCTTATCTTCTTGTTTGGGCTATTATCGACTACCAGAATACTAACATCGGGATATTTTCAGTTCTTCTTCTTCTTCATCACATCAAAACGAAATATAAATTCAAATTTATGTTCTGTTTGTTAGTGAATAAACATTGCATACGGGCAAGTGATATATTCGTCAGAATGAGATGAGGGAGTTTGCTTAGGAGTGAGTAGTCATCACCTAAGAAATGTGTGCTATTGTAAGAACATTAGTCTGAGTATACCTTTTCATATATTATTTCTCTATTGTTTCAAGTTGATAGATAGTAATGAAAAGTAACCAATTGTTAAATGACTAAACGACTAATTAATTAATATCAAGGACAAAGCCATGATATCTCTGGACATAACATCGTTATTCAAAAATGTACTTCTAATAGAAACAGTTAACTACATATGTGAACAAGTGGATAACGTGTCGATAAACGTTGGTATCCCTGCTGAAATCCTAAAAGAATTGTTATTAAGATGTACCATGAATGTAAATGTCAAATTTGACGGCACGCTTCACAGGCAAGTTGTCGGGATAGCGATAGGCTCCCCACTGGGTCCCATTCTGGCTGATTTCTTACTAAGTAAGCTAAAAAATGGACTTCTAAAAACCTTATCAGTGAGCTCTCATTTTATTCCCGATATATGGATGATACCTTCATTCTTTGTGATAATGGTTCTGATAAAAGTACAATAATTACTGAATTCAATGAAGTACATTTGACTATGAAATTCACATGCGAAGAGGCATCTTAAGACAGAATCGCCTTCCTAGATATCCTACTTACAAGAAAACCAGATGGTAGCACAAAAAGAAATTTGCATAGAAAAAGCACTTGAACAGGACAATATACACATTTCCACAGCTTCGTTCCTATCAAGTACCAAAAAGAAATTAAGTGAAGACCTTAAGCCACAGAGTTACAGCTATATGCTCAGAAGAAGTAATTTAAACATTGTATATGATGCTTTGATCGAAAATAGCTATCCCAACAAATTTATCAAGTAATACATGACAAAGAAAGCAGAAAAGAACTACTCACTATCTGTAAACAAGAAGCCACTTTTTGTATACGACTGTAATTCAAGGGCAATATACCAAGTGAGATAATTACGAAGAAATTAAGAAAATCAGTTCAGAGAACTTTTAATGTTGGCGAACTACACGTCTTATTCTCTACACAACTGATGGTGATTCCGCGACTGAAAGATGAAGTACCTAGGATAGCCACTTCAAATTGTATCTACCAATTCAACTGCGTTTGTGGAGCCAGTTATATTGGTTGTTGCTCTAGGAACTTCGTTTTTCTTGCTCACCTGGGAACATCTCCCACTATGGCTAAGTATAGATAAAGTTAAAACCATTAACATATGTGTAAAACTTGGGCACTGTGGTAGTAAGTAATTCCACATTAGTTTGTTTACTGGATATATCACATAGTGAGACAGTATTTTTTATTATTATTATTAAATAATACTGTTTCACTGTGTGATATATCTAATAAACAAACTAATATGGAAAAACCATTTACAGTTCCACATTGAACCATCTGGTGCATACCGGTCGACCACAAAGCCAGCCAGCGTGGAAGAATCCTTCTCTATAATCTAGTGGGTGACTAATAAATTGCCAAAATCATCGAAGCACCGCATGCTCCAAACAGCAGAGGCCATTGCAATTCGCCTCAAACAACCAGTGCTCTGTGTTTAAATGAAAGGAAGGAAGTCCAGCCAGCCACTACTACTGCCTTGGCCGGTCTTCAGTAGAGACTAGAAATTCTTGAATTTGTAATATTATCTTTCCTAATGTTTCTGACATTCAACTTATTTTATGTTGATGCTACTGAGCCGTAATCTATCAATATTGTTGATTCAATGTTATTTAAACAGCACTAATGTTGTTCATAACACTAATTCATTCATTCACTATAATGTATGTATAAATGTAGAGCCTGATGAAGAAGGGGTTATCGAAAAGAGTACTCTTTGTTCAGTATCCATTCTTTTGAAAAATTTTAATGAGCATTTTTAATCAGTTAAGTGAGATTAGTTGAAGTAGTAAAAAACATGTTGTCATTAAAAAAACTATGGGAAACAAGATCACTCTAACCAATTCATTGGTGAGGTTGTCAGCAATCCCTGTCAATAAAAGTCCTGTATACATATGGTTTCATGAAGAAATAAATACAGCGTTTAACTGTCAACTGATTTCTGTTGATTTTCATGAATTTTGAGGCAAAATGACAACACTATCAGCTGAATTGCATTTGTTCTGGGCATGTTGTCTTTTGTTCTCTGGAACATCTACCAATGCGATTAAAAATAAAGATGTTGTTAAAATCATCAACCAAATCGATATTAGTCCAGATAGGCTGCAAAGCAACCTTTTGTCGTTTTTGATTAAATTGGAGGCAATATTGTACTGAATGCTGAAAATTCCTTGCTGTATCATTAGTACTGTTTTTGGAATTAAGCAAATTATCATTATTATTGAAAATTCTTTCTCTGTAATCTATAAGGTATTGAATAAATTACCAGAGGCCTCTAGATACTGACAGACTAGAAACAGAAGAGGTCATTACAATTCGTCTAAACGCAATCAGAGTTCTAAGTGCGAAAGAAACAGGTCCAACCATTTAGCTACTATTTATACTCTGGCCTGCTATCCCCTACCTATAAATTCATAGGTTCTGTGTTGGTTCCTTTAATTTATCTGACATTCAATCCGTTTAGTGTTATATTAATGTGAATTATCTCTCTCTACTACTGATGCCTTTCAAATGTAATCACCTATGGACACTATTGATTCATTGTTATTTAAAAGATCAGTTTGATAATAAGAAAATTTCTTCAATAATTCCTGTCATGTAAATATAGAACCTGATGAGGGAGAGGTTGTAGAAAATATGAACACTCTTTGTTCATTATTCACTCTTTTAAATTTTTAATGGACCTCTTTAGTATTTGTGTATATTTTTAGAAATGCGTCGGTGATTCAGTAGGAGGAATGCTCATCAGCCATGCACATACTTCAGGATTCGATTTCTGACCACCTCTTCTAGCAGCTCGAGAAAGTAGAGTTATGTTAGGAGTGAGGTTAGAAACCCCAACCCCGGATAAGCACCAGTTCTAGTGAAGCCTTAAAGCTCAAGCTTGGCGCCCCTTTACTCCACTCAGAACGCTAAAGAGTAAAATATTAAGAAAAATAAAAATAAATTTTCATAAAAATATGTGTAGGCGGTTCACAAAATAACTGATAAAATCAATATGTATGACTCAGTACTGCTTCGAAAAAAATGTAATGACCAAAACTCAGCTATTTCTGTATGTGTTCCTCTGTATAGCTTGCTAAAGTTCCTTGACTTATGCACAATCCATTACTTTAATCAAAGATTATGTATCAAAAATAACATATCAAAGTTACAAAGATGCATCAACACTGCCCCCCTGGCGGCACAGTCACACAACAGCAAACAGAAGCATTAAAACTAGGAATTTATCAAGAACATAGATAAGCAGTTTATGTATATATATATACATCTGAGTAAGAAAGTAAGTGGAGAACACATAGTTTATAATATTTCACTAGACACCATAACACAAAGTACTTTATTGATAAAACAGACAATAAAGAACAACTTACTGAACCCCAATTCAAAGCTCTAGCCAAATCATTTCCTGTGCCTAATGGTAAAACAGCAACTGGTGGAATTGTACTAAACGTCATAGAATCGATTGTAGAAAATATCCAGCCGACTGAACCATCGCCACCGCATACCAGTATCCGTAGATTCGGGACATGATTGAATAATTCCAAGCTTTTATATTTAACAAGAAGAACAAACAGAAATACAAAATTTTTCAGCATAAATATTTAAGATTCATTCATACTTGAGTGAACTCATTATCAGATATTATTCTTATTATGTACATCTCTCAGTTCACCTGAACTTGCAGAGCAAGTTACACTGGCATAGAATGCATTCCATGCGGATATCAGTGGACATTCTAACATGCTTTTATCAGGGGAAAAAGAAGAATCTGGGAAAATGTCTTTATTGTAAAACACCTAATCAATTTCTGTCAGTCAATCAAGCTTGACAATGACTTTAAGATCATCTTTATCAAATTTACACAGATCTGCCATATTTCCTTCGTTTCAAACCTTTAAACTGGACAGCCTAAAGAATAACAACCACGAAGTGCCGACGCAACAATGATCTTGCATGAATACCATTCGTTGGACTACAAAAAATCTGCTGTTATTACAGCAACACTATGAACGCTGTGCATGAATTTATGTGCAAATTTAATCCTTACCTCGTTATTAAGTACTGTTCGGACAATAACTATATCATAGAAAGAATTTTATTTTGATAAAATCACACACACAGTGTTGTTAAACAGTAATATTTACTGATGCGACCACATTTCAAGCCCAAACTATTGCTGCTAATAATCATATCAAGGCACCACTCACACAAAGTTCTTGATTCATTTATATTCATGAGTAGAAATTGATGATTAGACATTCGATTGAATAAAATCAATATACGATAAAGTACATTCGGAAATGATATTAGTGCTATCAATCAAATACAATCAGATGGGAAATAAGATACATTTTATAGTAAAATAAATAAGTAACTTGTTAGAATGTTATAATGTGAATTGATGGAATACATTTTAACATTATTTATTATCCGCTGATTTGACTGATGGTAATAATATCTTCCATATCTCTGGTATTTGCATTGAGCCATTTTTGTTGCATGTTTTGGGTGTAGACTCTATGAACCAGGATTCACTAAACCATATCTCTCTATCTCCACCTACCTATATTACTTTTCAGAATTTTGACCCTGTCCCACTCACCCTATTGTGTGGTTGTGTGTTAATGCATGCACAGCCATTGCTGAGCCTTTTTCTAAATCACTTATCTTCGTGAGATCAATCATTCTCCCCTTAGCTAAATTCGTATGTCCTGATAATCTCACTACTTCTGATCCACTATTTGTTTAACCTATGTCATTGACTTAACTCGCAATCAATGCAATGTATTCTGTAAAATATATAATTTTGTTTTATTGGATCAAACGAGTTCTTTAGCCACAGAGCTTGTCCTACCTGACTGAGTTTGTAGGAGGGTTTGAATGCCACCCTAATTTCTGCCTCAGTGAGAATCCTACGTTGGGTCTCAGATGTCCCCTCTTTATATGGTAAAGCTGTAGATGTTTTATATTCTTTTCTTATGTTATGTTATCATTCTTAGTTTCACCATTATTTTTTATTTTGACCCTCTTTAATTATTCCTAAAGAATTTTATAGGACAGTTATTTAACACCAACTGTTTCATCTATCTGTTTGGACAATGGTTTGATAGCATGTCAAGGTTAGGATTAGTATTAGGGTTATACTGTTTTATTTTTACTAGTATTTCTATTTTTCTTGTAAATAAACAAGCGCGAGGAGAGTATTTTGTTGCTCATATAGATGAAGTCGTTTTGATTGTTATGAAACATGAAATGTGCTACCCTTTATTGCAAATGGGATGAATTTTTCAGTTACATCAGGGTAAAATATTTTCTTTACTATTATAACGTTAATTTTTCTCTTAAATAAACTGCTTTCGACGTGGAACGCTCGGCGGTAAGTTATACAATCCAACAAGTGGTATGTGTTTGAGGTCACGGGTGCATTCCCATTTCGTGGTCACTATTCTTTATAGTTTGCACTTCAAAGAAATCAGAGGACTTAGCTGGTCATAAATGTTAACTTAATCTTTGTGTACAAGAAGACGTAGTTTCCACAGATCCTATTTTCACTTAAGGCTTGTTAGAATAAAAATGAGCGATAAGAATATTTTCATTTTGCAATGTACAGGTGTAGCTTATCAAACTTTTCACCCTGTTACGTGACATTTTATTTGCCTAATAACCCATCGATTTTATCCCCTTGGCCTTTCTTATTTCAAGTTCTTTAGATTGTATAAATTATTTTATGGAATTAGAAAATAAACCTGTTTTATCACTTGATAGTGAACTGGAGGTATAATCACGAACATTGTATCGAAATTCACATTAGTACTGTTATAAGTAATAATACTTACTGTCTAAACTTCTCCGTGGGATATAGTTTTTAGAAAAAGTCATGTATGCATTAAAATGTACAGCGTAACAATAAATTTGTTTATAAGAGTCTTATTGTTAAATACTGTGTTTGAAAATGCTATTAAGTCAACTTTTTTTTTATTCGTTTGCGTACTGAGTAGAACATAGGATATCAGGTTTTGAAGTTTCAGTAGTGCCAATGTTGTCATTTTTACTGGATACGGTTGCTAACCTTTTCTTTTGTACCAGGGCTACTCCCGCCCACATGAAATTTTAGACTGTGCTAACCATAAATCGAGCGCTAACCTCTCGAGTGGCTGCGGAGTATTCAAATCTCAGTTTTGGTATTATGTATGTACCATTAAATCAGATTTTTATATTACGAGTTTGGATGAAAAATGAATTATTCTTAATTCAAAATGAATTTCATCTTGAATGAATATAAATAATAGTGAGGAAGCCATTGAAAGACCAAGAATCAGGTATCAGTTAAAAACAGAACCCATTGTAACGACGGGGATGCACAACTCCGTCAGAAATTAAGCCCAAATCTGTTGAGTTAACAGTCAGCACATGATATGGTGATCGATGTTCAGTATGAAAACAGATCAAACAGGATTTCCAAAAGAATGGTTAATGAACAAAGAATATTCAGGTTTTCGATAACCTGCTCTTCATCATCAGGTTCTACAGTTCATATATACATACGACACAGTGAATGAATTAGTGATATTAACAACCTTAAATCACATCGAATCAACAATATTAATATCATTGGGTTACAGTTCCATAGGATCAACATAAAACTACAGTGAATATCTGAAGGGCAAACTAGGCAGAATAATCATACAAATTTATGAATATACAGTCTCCATTGAAGGCTGGCCAGGGCAGTAGTAGTGGCTGGCTGAACTTACTTCTACCGTACACGGAAGACCAGTCGTTTTAAGTGAATTGCAATAGCTTCTGCTATCTGGAGTAATTGGTGCCTGGGTGTTTTTGGTGGCTAGCTTCGTGGAGGGTTTGCATAAGGTGGTTTAATAGTCCTTTTAAACTTTTGTAGTTATATATATTGCCTGATGAATTTTTCTGGATAGCTATTTTCAGTCAAGGTGTCATTTGCAGTCATTAGTTCATCTCCAGTTACCTGGTCTGAGCATACAGTTCTAACTGTGTGACTGAGAGTTCTTAATAGCGGTTAGGACGGTCGCCGACTGTGCACGTGGTCCGGGTTTCGATCCCCGGCCACTGGACACACTGCTTTACCTCGCTAAGCCACAAATAAGTCTGGTAAAGAGGAAGGGTTGGGCATGAGGCTAGCAACCCCATCCTGTAAAAAAACACTGCTACAGAAACTTCAAGCTACTAGCTTGAAGCCCTATGTTCCACTGAGGAACGTGAAGTAAAATTTAAAAAAATACATTTCTTTTGAGCTGGAAAGGAACGAAGCTATGGAAATGTTTATATTTTCATGTCCATGTACTTTTCCAAGGCAAATTTTTCTTTACACTACCATCTTGTTTTTTTGTATGAAAGATATCCAAACAGGCAATTCTATATCAGTCAGTCAGAATTTAGTCCACGTAAACGATCGGTGTCCAGTTGGGAAATTAACCAATCACAATTGGCCTACAAAAAAATAACGTCCACTATTTTACTGATCATGGTTTTTTGAATAACATATCATTGCCTGAACTATACTTTGTGGCTGACATCATTGTGTGATCCTGTTTGAGTAGCGCAGGCTATGGGGGCGTAGTAAGCCTCATAAACGTGATCAGTGCATCTGTGTACCACTCTGTGTCCTTATTTAAGTGTCGACGTATTGTGAATAAGTCAGTCAGTTGGAATCGAACAATCAATTATTTTCTGATATCCTCCACTCAGCTGTCTAGCGAATGGTTAGTTTTCTTGCATTCTTTTGCATTTCCAATGAAATTTCGACTTTCAGGAATTGAGTCTGGAAGTTTCTGTGAAACGATGGGGTGGAGATCGCTAGTTTCCTTACACCCAACCTCCTCTCTATCCTGAGAACTTAATACTATGAGTTAAGCGAAGTATACAACTGTATCGGGTGAGAATCAATCCCCAGACAACCACCAAGTATGGCATATATAATTGGCGAATATTCTGCCGATTACAACTATCAACGTGTATATTAATTAATTAATATAACAGTCAGAAGGAGGCAAATAAGAGAAGCAAAAAAAAGAAGACAAAAAATAATAATAATTTTAAGTGATTCTAAATGTTTGGACCATGATATCCGCCTACTATCTGCTTGCTGTAATTTTTTTTAGTCTAGTCATTGGCCTCCCCCACCCCCTCCCACCCCCGTCCAAAAAACAAAAACAACAGAGTAGACATAGGAGGCGTTAACTCATTACAGCAAACATCTAAAATGACTGACTGCTATTCTCTTAGTTAGCTGGCTTTTTTTCGAAGACAATAGTTACTAATATATATACGTATATATATATATACATATATAATATGTATGGCTGATGTATCGTAGATATATCAAAATAACAGATAATGCGTAATAGTAGTAGTAGTAGTAGTAGTAGTGAGAGCCATGTCGACATATCCACATATCATAAGAGCCTACAACATTCAGGCTTATTATTAATTTTAATATTATTACTAATGAAATGTGAATACATGCATATATATATGTATTGATGATAGGTTTTTTTCATTGATAGACA